TCACTCAGGCCTCCCCCTGTGTCTCCTTGCTGCCGTCCCAGCGGGCCGGGCATGGCACGTGACCCCACCTGGGGCCGAGGGAGGACCCTGCGAAGGTGCACGGCCATGGGGGCGGCACCGAGGGGGAGAACGTGGCAACCCACGCCCTCGTCTAACGGCCGGAGGAACGGAGGACCACCTGCCAGTGGGCGGTTGCCCTTTCCCACGTGGGGAGCGCATGTCCCAAAGGTGGGCAGAGATGGCACCAGAGACAGGCGGGCAGCGCCTGAGTGTTGCTCAGGGTGTTGTTGCCGGCCCTTAAGCATCACTGACCTGCAGCACTGTCCTCCGTGTCCAGGCAGGTGTCCCTGCATTTTGGGAGGTGTGGTGCCAGGCCCCCGAAGGGCACAGCGCCCTGTTGTCAAGGACCTCGGGGTGCTCGGCCAGGGCTGCAATCACTCAGGAGCTGTGAAAGGTGCTGCCGCACAGGCCCCGCCTACACAGGCCAGTGCTGGGGGGTGGGGTTCCTAATGACCCCGTGTTCCTGAGGTGGAGCTGGGGCTGAGGGAGCCACGGAAGAGCAGGGAGGTCACTCTGGCCCGGCAGGGTCAGTGCTGGGAGCGGCGGGGCCTGTGTGAGAGCAGCTCAGTGGGGCTGGAGAAGGAGGGGGAGGCGGGGCTTCCTGGAGGAGGGATGTCCATGTGGGATCCTGCAGCATGATGGGGTCAACACAGCATTAGGGATCATGCCATTCCAGAGGGCAAGGGGGCATCTCCGCCCCAGGAGGCCATGAAGACCCTCCCACGTGGCTGTTTCTGACTTTCCACAGCTGGGCCGTGCGGTGGAGAACCACTCTATTGTCTGTATTCTATGCTTGACTGCCTCACACTCCAGGCCACTGTCGCCTGCCCTGGTCATCCCAGCATCCCAGGGCCAGGCACCAGACACCCAGGATAGCCCCCCCCCCAAATCCGTCAGGTACCGTCCTGAGGCCCCCACTGACCACAGCCTAGACAGGAGAGCTGTCTCTGGGCACAGGAGCCCTCTCCTCGCCCTGCCCTGCCCCCGCACGGTCTCGCACAGTTGTCCTGAGATGGGCAGTCTGGGTGGACCTGCCTCTGCTATTCACCAGGAGCTCTCACTCTCTGGGTCCGTGCCTCTAAACTTGTAATCTATAAATATTTTTATCATGCCTTCATTGTGAGTAGATTTGTTTATTTATAGGTAATATGCATGAACCACTAAAAAAATGTGTACTTTAAAACTTGCCCATAAAATAGACATCTATACTAATAAAAGGGTAATATGATAATTAGAACCAACCTCTCCTCACTTCCCCACCCCATTTCCTGGCAACCGCTTTCTACTCTCTGTTTCTATGAATTTGAATTTTGTTTAGACTCCACGTGTAGGTGATACCCTGTAGACTTTGTCTTTATGTGTCTGACTCATCTCACTTAGCATGATGTCCTCTAGGTCCATCCCTGTGGTTGCAAATGACAGGATGTCCTTTCTTCTGGCTGAATAATGCGTCACTGTATATACATGACACATCCTTTATCCACTTGTCTGTTAATAAACACTTAGTTTGTATCCATGTCTTGGCTACTGTGAGTAATCCTGGAGTCGGGGGGGACGTTGTCAAAGTATTTGATAAAACACAAGTGTAAGCAGGCGCTCTAACCGGCCGGCACCTTGCAGACCACAGCTCTTTATTCATCTTAGAGCTGCCCTTTACCAACCTCTCCTCACTTCCCCACCCCATTTCCTGGCAACTGCTTTCTACTCTCTGTTTCTATGAATTTGAATTTTGTTTAGACTCCACGTGTAGGTGATACCCTGCAGAATCTGTCTTTATGTGTCTGACTCATCTCACTTAGCATGATGTCCTCCAGGTCCATCCCTGTGGTTGCAAATGACAGGATGTCCTTTCTTCTGGCTGAATAATACGTCACTGTATATACATGACACATCCTTTATCCATTTGTCTGTTAATAAACACTTAGGTTGTGTCCATGTCTTGGCTACTGTGAATAATCCTGGGGTCGGGGGGACGTTGTCAAAGTATCTGATAAAACACAAGTGTAAGCAGGCGCTCTAACCGGCCGGCACCTCGCAGACCACAGCTCTCAGTCGCACCAGGAGTAGCACAGCCGCCTGCAGCTCTCGCTAACGGGGCCTCTGCTTCTCTGTCCCAGGGCACGTCCACATCACGGACTTCAACATCGCCACCGTGGTGCAGGGGGCGGAGAAGGCCTCCTCCATGGCCGGCACCAAGCCCTACATGGGTGAGTGTCCCAGCACCCCTTTGGGGTGTGACCTGCCCGGTGGCTGAGGCATCAGAATCCTCTCCTGCTTCACCCCCACCCCCATCTGTGCCCAGGATGTGCCCAGCTCTCTGACACCTTCGGGCTTCACCCAGTCTGTCTGCCCTGCCAGACACACCTTCCCCTCCTGCGTCTTCTTTAAGGAAATCTTTGGCGCAGCGGTCGCCAACTGTGAGGTCCGAAAAGTTCTCGACCGCTGTTCTAGGGAACTCCTGCCCAGCCAGGAGGCTTGGCTCAGGCTTAGGGAAAAACCAACCAACCAACCAACCAACCTTTCTTTTCTTTTTGATTTAAGCCCCTTAGTTTTTCCAGCATATAGCCTTGGTTTTGGTCAGTTGGGTCTGTATGCTTACATATACAATGTGTGGTTTTATGTTGGTTTTTCTTCATGACTTCTGACAGGAGTATTGTTTTTGGCAAGCATTCTGTTTTCTCTAAGGACGCCGATGATCTGAACGTTGGGTTTCCTTTGCCACCCTTCAATATTTGTCATTTTCAGATCTTTCTTATATCTTCCTTTATTTGTTTAAACTTTTCTCATTTTTCTTTCTCTTTCCTTTAAAGCATGATCTGTTGAGTGTAGATTCACTTTGTGTGCTTTCTGGTGAAGTATTTATTACTGAAATAGTTTTTCTTTATTTCTGACTTTTTTTCCCGAGTTCTCTTGCCTGATCGCTGAGTTTTTAAATTCAAATGTATGTTGCTCTTTTGTCTTGTATAAGTCTATTAATGTCTTTCTTAATTCTTAATTCTTGATGTCTATATTAGTTTCCATTTCCTTAGTAACAAACCATCTCAAAGCTTCGTAGCTTAGAGCAATAATGACATAAGACTTCTCACAGTCCTGCCATGTGGCCGGACGGCTCTTTGCTGGTTTGGGCTGGGCTCCCTCATTCAGCCGGTGGGCCAGCTGGGGGCTCTGCCAGGAGAGCTGAGAGGAACGGGCCTCTCCCTCCCCGTGTGGTCTCCGTCATCGCGGGGACCAGAGTGAGCTTGCGGCTCTTTGCTGGTTTGGGCTGGGCTCCCTCATTCAGCTGGTGGGCCAGCTGGGGGCTCCGCCAGGAGAGCTGAGAGGAACGGGCCTCTCCCCGCGTGGTCTCCGTCATCGCGGGGACCAGAGTGAGCTTGTGCACATGGTGACAGAGGCCTCAGGAGATCCCGGTCCCCACATGCTTATCGAGACTCTGCCTGCCTCACATTTCCTGATGCCCAGTTGGCCAGAGCAAGTCACATGACCCAGGCCAGGGACCCTGTGGGAGGGGTCTACACCACGGCCTGATTCACTGGGGGGTCAGTAAGGAGCCGGTCCTCCCCACTGTGACTGCACCGTGAGGTCCTTAACTTGCCACGTCTGCCAAGACACTGTTCCCCTCTCTCGGGGGCGGTGAGTGTAAGTGAGACGCGCAGCGACATTCTCTTCATCCTGTCTCTGGCAGCCCCGGAGGTGTTCCAGGTCTACGTGGACGGAGGCCCCGGGTACTCCTACCCCGTCGACTGGTGGTCCCTGGGCGTCACGGCCTACGAGCTGCTGCGGGGCTGGGTAAGACGTGCACCTGTGCGGCGGGCACACAGGGCCGTGGAGGTGGGGGCTCGGGGTGTCCCGGGCTTGGGGGGACGAGGCACACCATTTTGCTGGGCCGGCACCGGGCGGCAGGAAGGAGCTCAGTGAGGAGTCGGAGGCCTGGTGCCAGTCCCGATGGTGTGCGTGCCAGCTCTGAGGCCCCTGCGCTTAGCGAGCTTCTGACACAGCCCTCATTCTGCTCCTGGGCAAGGGATGTCGGGGGAGGGAGGCTTGTGCGAAGGTCAGCGGCGCGTCAGTGGCAGCTCAGACGTGGGGAGCACCTTAGCCTGTGAGTTCCAACGCTGCCTCTTCCCACCCCAACACGATGTCCTCCCCACTTTCCGGCTTGGTTTGAAGCCCTTGCAGGGTACAGGCCATGCATCCTTCACGGGTTTCGTTTGTCTGCTCATCCCGATCTCCCCTGAACACCTTAGCTCCGTGTCCCAGAAAGATGGGGCGTCCGGGCGTATTTTCACTTTATGGCATTCAAACGGGAAAACCGAAGATGACCCATGGAGCTACTTGGCAGCTAGTGTCTCGTTGTTTTATTTGAGCAGAAAGAATGATGACAAACTGACTTGGAGGCGTGTTTTCTCTGCACAGGGATGGTTGGAAAAGGATGCCGCCTACCCCTCAGGACACGGTTTCCCCTGCGCACAGTGGGGACTGTCCCATCCTTTCAGTCTGAGCAGCCATCATCACGGCATTCGCTGCCCTGGGCTGCGGCGTGCGGTTCACATATCACTCACCTTCCCAGCTCCGCTCCCCGCACAGCAGGCAGAGTCCCGTTTCCCCCACTGGCGATGCGCCCCCGCCCTTTGCGTGCTGGCACCGTCAGCCCCGTAGCCAGCGCTCCGTGACGGCAGGGCCCGGGCATGGTGACATGGGTGATGAATGAATGAATGAATGAATGAAGCAGTCTATAAACCGTCAGAGCTCTGAGAGTGCACATATGTATGACTAATCACCCTGTAGCTCAAGCAGCTGGGATCTCCTCTTGATCAGATATTTCCCCTGAATTTCTCAGAGGAACTACTGTACATGGTGTTTTTTAGAATGCAAAAAACCCAAAACAAACGAAAAAAAAACACCGATGAGTCTGTTCATTTTCTCAAGCTCTGAATGAAAAGGTTGCTCTCCCACCGGCTTCCTCATTCCTGGTCGGTTCCTGTCGTCCATTAGTCCCACGGACACACATACTCGGAGGAGGAGTATGAGGGCCCATCGTATTTGTCAGAACCAGAGGACACGAGCGTTTGCCAGACGCTGACTGTCTTGCACAATCAGACAGGCCAGTGGCCGTGGCGAGCAGTAGACCTAAGCTTGGTTGGGCCTTGGCCAGTGGAAAGTTCCTCCTCTGTCCTTCCTCATGGGTCAGAACTGTCAAAGGTGATGACGTGGCCAAAAGCCCCAAGGACGGAGTGGCTCTTGCTGCTTCAAAGATAAACTCTTTCTTTTTAAAAATATATGTGTGTTTATTGATTTCAGAGAGGAAGGGGAATGGAGAGAGAGAGAAAAACATCAATGATGAGAGAGAATCATGGATTGGCTGCTTCCTGCACGCCCCCTACTGGGGATCGAGCCTGCAATCCCTGGGCATGTACCCTGACTGGGAATCGAACCGTGACCTCCTGGTTCATGGGTTGATGCCCAACCACTGAGCCACACCGGCCGGATGTATTGTGGTTTTAACCCAGCCAGTGCAGTGTCCTGTCCTCTCTCTGACTCCGCCCGTTGTCTCTGCAGAGGCCGTACGAGATCCACTCGGCCACACCCGTCACTGAGATCCTCAACATGTTCCAGGCGGAGCGTGTGCACTACTCCTCCACGTGGTGCAAGGGGATGGTCGCCCTGCTGAGGAAGGTAAGGGGCGGCCAGCTGCCCGCTAGCGGGAGTGAGGTCGCAGTGCAGACTCGGGCCTCCCGGCACCGTGAGGAAGGAGGATACGGAGGGACAGGAGATGAAAAGCAGGGCTCTAAGCCACCTCCTATGCGGGCTCAGCATCTGGCATTCAGGATCACAAGCTGCTGGCCAGTGAGCCTGGCTCAGAATCCTGGTGGTGACGGCGACGCCGGGCCCTGTCACGCCAGCACGGGCTCCCAGTACCTAGAGATCCTCACTGCAGGTGGCTCTTCAAAGCGTCTTTGACTCACTGGGCTTGAAGACACGGGGCATCTCCGCACCTTGTGCAGGAATTGTTGCTGTTGGAATGAAGCAGAGGTTCTCAAAGTGTGTTCCAGGGAACAGCGGGTCGGCACCTCCCGGGAGCTTGTTGGAAAGGCCGATTCTCAGAGCCGGAGCCTGGGGTGGGCCAGGCTGTGTGTGTCTCCACAAGCTATCAGGGTGGCTCTGTGCACTAGGGGGTTGTAGGCTGGGTGCCCTCCCTTTGAGCTGACCTGCAGCTGTGGCCACTGGGAGTCCTCCAAGATGCGTGGAGTTGACGGCACTGGTTGAGGGAACAGTAAGTCCGGGGCCATGAGCTGGGTCTTCTCCCTTCATCGCCACAAGCCTGTGTATGTGACCCTGAGTCGTGGTGTTGTCCCCATAGTAGAGATGAGAAAACTGATGCTCAGGAAAGTGAAACCTGCCAGCAGTGTCACGGGGCTGCAAAGGGGCAGAGGCGGGTTCTACCCCAGCTCCCCGACCCCGAGCCCAGCACTCACTCCTCCCCCGTGGATGATGCACTGAATCGCTATCCATTAACTTGCTTTGGAGTCACTACCTGGTTCCTAGGGGTTGGTGGCCCTCAGCCTGATTGGTCTCCAAATCACTGGAAGCCCTGCCACCTGCCATGCCCCCCTTACCCGCCCAGCGAGTCAGACCACTGCTGCCCAATTGCTGAGCCCAGGTGCAGCAAAGAAATGGGGCCTCTGTTTAAAATAGCACCCCTCATTTGGGTGCACCCCCTAAAGACAGGCTGCTGTGACCAACAGATGACACCCTGCCAGGCATCCCTCACCTGGTGACTGGCCCTCTTGCTGGGCACGGCGGGAGATTTCTGCAGTGACTGGGGGGACAGGCTGTTGGGGGCTCCCCTCCTGGCTCCACCTGCTGGCACTGGGTATGACCCTGCCCTGCCCAGGCCCCCCGGGGCTCATCCAGCCACGAGCTGGGCATGGATGCCTGGCCGTCCCTCTGCGGGAGGAACTCAGGCCTCAGCTACCCAGGGCTGCACTCGTCCAGTGGCCTCCAGACGAGGACTCCTATCCTATTTGCAGGCAGGTGCTCCCTGCACCAGAGGAGCAGGTGACCCCCAGGCAGAGAGCCCTGTGGACACAGGGGGCAGCCTGTGGTGGCTTTTACACTTACCACCCTTATTAGCAGAACCCATTTGAGAAGAAGCTGAGAATGGTCCCCTTGGCGACAAGCGCGGTCAGCGCACCAGGCCACAGAGGTCGCCTCTGACTGTCCAAGGGGAACTGTGACATGTGGCACATCCCATTATCGAGCGGAAAGTCCTGAGACGAGACAGCTGATTCTTTTACTTTTAATTGGCAGCCTCTGTGCTACCAGGGAGAGCCAGTGCCAGGGCTGACCAGCAGCCCCTGAGCGACGGATGAACGATTACTCAGATGCATGTTTCTGTGAAAGAGAGGGCTAAGGGACTGCCTGGCTATAGGAACCAGACAGCCTCACTCGCCTGCCTCTTCAGGCTCTTATTGTAGCAGCAGTTTGGGATAAAGTTTATCTTTTAGATACAATCAGTTGGGTCATAATCTTGGAGGATGCATGTGTCTGCAGTGTCCTTTAAGCAAGGACACCCAAAGATTAAGCATAAAGATTCCGGTAAACACCCGAGGGTCCACAGGTACACAGACTTGTTTGGAAAGGTTAAGGAGCAATTAGGGGCACCACCTTCAGCCCACTCCCCTAGGTCAGAAATTCCTCCTTACAGACTTTCCAACCAAGTCTCTGTGCTCCCCTACAAGCCAGCGTGTCATGGTCCCCGAGGGGAGCTGGCGGCTGCAGGGTTCATCCCCACCCAAGGGGCCCTGGCTGGATGCCCTGAGGAAGCAGCCTGACCCCTCAGTCCCTCCTTGTAAAGAGATGGGTGTTGGTGACACTTCCGATGACAGCGTCCCAGATGGGGCACGACCGGGCTGGAGGTGACCCCGCCCTCGGCACCCCGCCCCTCTCGGTGATGCACAGCTCAGGCAAGCACTTTGCCCTGTGTCCCCAGCTCCTGACCAAGGACCCCGAGAGCCGCCTGTCCAGCCTCGGCGACCTGCAGAGCACACCCTACCTGGCCGACACGAACTGGGACGCGGTGTTCGAGAAGGCGCTGACCCCCAGCTTTGTGCCCAATGTGAGTGGGGGTCCCCTCTGATGGCGCGCCACGCCCCGCAGGGTCCCACCCCTCCTCCAAGACTCAGCATACGTGCAGCAGCTGGCCCGAACCAAGTCTCTGTGCTCCCCTACAAGCCAGCGTGTCATGGTCCCCGAGGGGAGCTGGCGGCTGCAGGGTTCATCCCCACCCAAGGGGCCCTGGCTGGATGCCCTGAGGAAGCAGCCTGACCCCTCAGTCCCTCCTTGTAAAGAGATGGGTGTTGGTGACACTTCCGATGACAGCGTCCCAGATGGGGCACGACCGGGCTGGAGGTGACCCCGCCCTCGGCACCCCGCCCCTCTCGGTGATGCACAGCTCAGGCAAGCAACACCCAAAGATTAAGCATAAAGATTCCGGTAAACACCCGAGGGTCCACAGGTACACAGACTTGTTTGGAAAGGTTAAGGAGCAATTAGGGGCACCACCTTCAGCCCACTCCCCTAGGTCAGAAATTCCTCCTTACAGACTTTCCAACCAAGTCTCTGTGCTCCCCTACAAGCCAGCGTGTCACAGGGCCATGGTCCCCGAGGGGAGCTGGCTGCTGCAGGGTTCATCCCCACCCAAGGGCCCCTGGCTGGATGCCCTGCGGAAGCAGCCTGACCCCTCCGTCCCTCCCTGTTGTAAAGAAATGGGTGTTGGTGACACTTCCGATGACAGCGTCCCAGATGGGGCATGATTGGATTGGAGGTGACCCCGCCCTCTGCACCCTGCCCCCTTGGTGGCGCACAGCTCAGGCAAGCACTTTGCCCTGTGTCCCCAGCTCCTGACCAAGGACCCCGAGAGCCGCCTGTCCAGCCTCGGCGACCTGCAGAGCACACCCTACCTGGCCGACACGAACTGGGACGCGGTGTTCGAGAAGGCGCTGACCCCCAGCTTTGTGCCCAATGTGAGTGGGGGTCCCCTCTGATGGCGCGCCACGCCCCGCAGGGTCCCACCCCTCCTCCAAGACTCAGCATACGTGCAGCAGCTGGCCCGTGGGAGGGTCAGCACTGGTTCTGCTCTGGGGGGCAGCCCCCGCCTCCTCTCTGGACCGCAGCCTCCCTGCCCCCACTGGAGAGGCGCCCGGGTCTCCGTTAGTGGTTAATAAGGTCCCGTTTTTGGTGTCTGCCATCCTCCTGAGCCTTCAGAGAGTGCGGACCATGTGGTGGGCCGGCCTCGGCCTGAGGGAGCCCCCAGGATGGGTGGCCTTCGAAGGCACCAGGAGGCCACCGTGTGTCTTCTCACATGAGAGTGGCTGCATGAGAGACAGGAGCCGGCAGGAGGCAGTGCGTGCCTGGCGTGCGCATCCAGCATCTCAGACAAGCCTCACCACAGGGCAGCGTGTCTGTCCGTGCAGGGTCCCACCCCTCCTCCAAGACTCAGCATACGTGCAGCAGCTGGCCCGTGGGAGGGTCAGCACTGGTTCTGCTCTGGGGGGCAGCCCCTGCCTCCTCTCTGGACCGCAGCCTCCCTGCCCCCACTGGAGAGGCGCCCCGGTCTCCGTCAGTGGTTAATAAGGTCCCATTTCAGTGTCTGCCATCCTCCTGAGCCTTCAGAGAGTGTGGGTGGGCCGGCCTCGGCCTGAGGGAGCCCTCAGGATGGGTGGCCTTCGAAGGCACCAGGAGGCCACCGTGTGTCTTATCACATGAGAGTGGCTGCATGAGAGACAGGAGCCGGCAGTGTGTGCCTGGCGTGCGCATCCAGCATCTCAGACAAGCCTCACCACAGGGCAGCGCGTCTGTCCGTGTTCTCAGGTCAGGAAACTTGCTCCGCTCACTCAGTGAGAGATGGACAGAACCAGGCTCGACCCCAGGCAGTCTGGATCCAGAGCCTGCATGGGAATGAATGAATGAATGAATGAATGAATGGCAGATAAATGGGGCCAGGAAAGACTTGGGCCTGAAATCCGACCGCTCATTGGGAGAGATGGTACCTCCGAAGCCGTGGGTGTTATAACCACTAGGCTGTACTGCCCGAGCCCTTGGTGGCGCACAGCTCAGGCAAGCACTTTGCCCTGTGTCCCCAGCTCCTGACCAAGGACCCCGAGAGCCGCCTGTCCAGCCTCGGCGACCTGCAGAGCACACCCTACCTGGCCGACACGAACTGGGACGCGGTGTTCGAGAAGGCGCTGACCCCCAGCTTTGTGCCCAATGTGAGTGGGGGTCCCCTCTGATGGCGCGCCACGCCCCGCAGGGTCCCACCCCTCCTCCAAGACTCAGCATACGTGCAGCAGCTGGCCCGTGGGAGGGTCAGCACTGGTTCTGCTCTGGGGGGCAGCCCCCGCCTCCTCTCTGGACCGCAGCCTCCCTGCCCCCACTGGAGAGGCGCCCGGGTCTCCGTTAGTGGTTAATAAGGTCCCGTTTTTGGTGTCTGCCATCCTCCTGAGCCTTCAGAGAGTGCGGACCATGTGGTGGGCCGGCCTCGGCCTGAGGGAGCCCCCAGGATGGGTGGCCTTCGAAGGCACCAGGAGGCCACCGTGTGTCTTCTCACATGAGAGTGGCTGCATGAGAGACAGGAGCCGGCAGGAGGCAGTGCGTGCCTGGCGTGCGCATCCAGCATCTCAGACAAGCCTCACCACAGGGCAGCGTGTCTGTCCGTGTTCTCAGGTCAGGAAACTTGCTCCGCTCACTCAGTGAGAGATGGACAGCACCAGGCTTGACCCCAGGCAGTCTGGATCCAGAGCCTGCATGGGAGTGAATGAATGGATGAATGAATGAATGGCAGATAAATGGGGCCAGGAAAGACTTGGGCCTGAAATCCGACCGCTCATTGGGAGAGATGGTACCTCCGAAGCCGTGGGTGTTATAACCACTAGGCTGTACTGCCCGAGGGGACGGGCACCCTGGGCTGGGTCTCAGGACAGAAAAGGCCACCTAAGGTTTCGGATCCAAGGTCTGAAAGGCAGGGAGACCCACATTCCTCCTGCCACAGTGGGCGGGGGCCCAGCCTCCAGGAGGTCGGGCCTGGGTCCGCTGGCTCCAGCTGCAGAGGAAAGGGAACCCAGAGCCTGCATGGGAATGAATGAATGAATGAATGAATGAATGGCAGATAAATGGGGCCAGGAAAGACTTGGGCCTGAAATCCGACCTGCTCATTGGGAGAGATGTACCTCCGAAGCCATGGGTGTTATAACCACTAGGCTGCACTGCCTGAGGGACGGGCACCCTGGGCTGGGTCTCAGGACAGAAAAGGCCACCTGAGGTTTCGGATCCAAGGTCTGAAAGGCAGGGAGACCCGCATTCCTCCTGCTACAGTGGGCGGGACCCAGCCTCCAGGAGGCCGGGCCTGGGTCCGCTGGCTCTAGCTTGCAGAGGAAAGGGAACGAGGACTGGAAACTGGGAAGAATATGATGAGAAATGGCATTTTGCATGGAAAGAGTAAAAATGGTATTTATAGAAGAGGGAGTGGTGGCATGAGGACGTTTGATAAAATACGTGGAAATGTCAGATCAGAAAACTAAACTCAGCCTCATGACTGACCATCCATCCGTAGGAAGGAGACTGGGGAGCATGTGGACATTGCGGTGGGGCTGCCCGGGGTGTGGGGAGGGATCAGGGGGATAATCGAAGGACGTGTGCAATGGGAACGTGTTGCTTTTCATCATCAGAAAAAATATACAGCAGATGTGACCCACAGGAGCAGGTCATCGTTACTTGTTGAATGAAAGATTGAATGAATGAGTGAGTGGAAGTAAAGTTCGGCGGTGGGTGGAACAAAGACAAACCCTGTTTTCCTTTCAGAAAGGGAGATTGAATTGTGATCCCACGTTTGAACTTGAAGAAATGATTCTCGAATCCAAGCCGCTTCACAAAAAGAAGAAGCGGTTGGCAAAGAACAGGTCCAAAGACGGCACGAAGGACAGCTGTCCGCTGGTGAGCGCCATGGGGGGGTGGGCGCACCACGGGAGGGCGGGAGTCCTGTTCTCCCAGGGATGCGATGGAGCTAGGCTACCTTTTATTTCTTATTTTAAAATATGCTTTTATTGATTTCAGAGAGAGGGCGAGAGATATAGAAACATCGTATCTCTTATGGTGGGGGAGAATCACTGATCGGCTGCCTCCTGCACGCCCCCTACTGGGGATGGAGCTCACAACCCAGGCATGTGCCCTGACCGGGAATCGAACTGTGACCTCCTGGCTCACGGTTGGAAGCTCAATCACGGAGCCACGCCAGCTGGGCGCTAGGCTACTCTTTAGACAGATGGAGGCATGTCAGTCACCAGCCAAATGCCTTCACTGGCTGTAAATGAGATGCCTCCATCCACAAATGGTCTTTCATTGCAGGAAACTGCCTGAGCTACAGGTGTGCGCTCCCATCATTCACCTTAGCACCGCCCCCCCCCCCCCCACCTCGTGAGTCTCCAGGCAGGAGCTCAATGCTGAGTGACAGGGGCCCCCTGTGTGCTGCCTCCTGAGCACCCTGTGGAAGGTCCCGTGCTGTGGAGACAGCCCAGGCCACAGGGTGACGTTCGTGGGGCCCTGGGCACGCCACTCGGGCTTTATGAGCCGCTGTATTCGCTTTCTAGGCTGCCATAGTGTCACAGCCTTGGTGGCTTAACATAAGTGGAAGTTATTCTCGCCCAAGTGTGGAGGCCAGACGTTCAGAATCAAGGCGTGGACAGAGCCGGGCTCCCCCAGAGGCTGGAAGGCGGTCCTCTCCGGCCACTCCTGCCCCTGGTGGCGGCCGGGGGTCTCCATGCCTTGGCTTGTGGCCACATCCCTTTGTCTCTGCCTCCACGTCACGTGGCATTTCCTCTCCGTGGCTCTGTGTCTTCACGTGGCCTTCTTGGAAGGACACCAGTCCTTGAGCTGAGGGCCCCCTACTCCAGTGTGACCTCATCTTCACGAGTGACAGCTGCATAGCCCCATCTCCACATAAGGTTCCCTTCCCCGGTGGGGGGTCAGGACATCAATGTATGTTTTGGGGGGAGGAGCAGATTTCAACCCACAACCGGCCCTTCCACCAAAAAAGCATCTTAAACATGATGTTTAATGACGGCAATGGTATGAAGTCAGCTTTCAATGCTGGAAGTTCATTTTTTCCTGCTTATTTTTTAAATATATTTTTATTGATTTCAGAGAAGAAGGGAGAGGGAGAGACAGAAACATCAATGATGAGAATCATTGGTTGGCTGCCTCCTGCACACCCCCTCCTGGGGATCGAGCCAACAAGCCGGGCATGTGCCCTGACCGGGAATTGAACCGTAACTTCCTGGTTCATAGGTCAACACTCAACCACTGAGCCACACGACCCTCGGGCTTTTCTGCTTATTTTAAAGAAACTGAAACATCTTTGTAGACCCTACCAGTACAGTGGGCCCAGGCCCCATGCCCAGGCCCCATGCCCAGGCCCGAGGCCCTGCCAGGTGTGCAGCAGCAGAGCCTCGGTGAGGCAGGTGGCTCTCAGCACCTGTTCTTGGCGGGAACGAGCACCTTGCAGGATGCCTTGCCTTTCTCCCCTCCCCCTCACGCTTTATTAGGCCTGACGGACATTCGAGCCATCAGGAAGCCACGCCCAGGATCTTCTACCCACAATCCCCCCCTACCACCGCTTTCAGCTCGGATTTAGTGGCTTCAAACTGAGAAAAACATCTTTGTCTGCCAGGCTGCCTGGCACAGCCACGGTGCTGGCAGGGCTGCTCCCTCCACTTAGCTGGTGCGCAGCCCCGGGCGACCGGTCTCTGCTGGTCTTGGCCCTTTGTCTGTCACTCACAGTCACCTGTCTGTCCCTTTGACAGAACGGACACCTGCAGCAGTGCCTGGAGACCGTGCGGAAGGAATTCATCATATTCAACAGAGAGAAGTAAGTCCCCCCTCTCCCCCACAGCTGCCGCCGGGCAGAGCCCTTCGGAACCGCAGGCTCCCGGGTGCCAGCCACGACCTGCGAGGGGACAGCTCGCCGACCCAGCCCAGGTGGCCGAGCGAGGCGCTGGCTTCCCTCCCCTGGGCCTCAGCGTCTCTGTGTGAAACGGGGAAGCAGGTGGGAACTGGCCAGGCACGCTGGCATGCACAGGCGGGGTTGCAGGTGGTGAGGGGCCCGGGCTCGGGAGTGTAACTGTCTGGGCCCAGTCCTGGCGCTGCAGCTGCCAGAGCGACCTGGGCCAGGTGCTTGCTTCCCGGGCCTCACGCCAGCCGTGGACGTGAGCTCTCCGCCTTGCCTGTGGCTGGTATCAGACTAAATGAGGCTGTGGATACGGTGCCTGGCGTGGTAAAGCCGATTGCTATGGTCATCATTACTTAATGGGCGTGGGCTGTGCTGGACCCCAGCGTCTCCGGCTGTGGTTCCAGAGGTCCTTCCTGCTCTGCTGGCCAGAGCAGGGGCCAGGAGACTCAGCCCATGGGTGAGGCTTGCTGGCTGGGCCCCGTGTGTGAGTCTGGGTTGACCTTGACTCCCACCTGCCCTAGAGCTGTGGCCACCCAGGATGAGTGACAGGCTGCTGCCTTCCTCACCCTCCCCAGCCCCAGTGGGAACGGGGCCCTGCCTTGCCCACCCGCCCATGGGCCAGAACCTGGACAGCCTGCCCGGATGGGTCCCTCACCTCCACCACGGCCCACCTCTACACATGCCCCGGGAATGCCAACTCCTCAACCAGCCGCGGGCCCCACGTCTGCCACCCAGGTCGCTTCCCCGTGTCATCCTCACTGCTGGGACCCCACGCCCGTCCCCTCGCACCCTTCAGGCCTGGGGGCCCCTCAGGAAGCTACCCTGAGCCCTGGCCGAGCCTGGCACCTGCTGAGAGCCACTGCCCGGGCTGCCCTTTGCCCTGGCACGTGCCCTGTGCCGCTGGAACGCTGGTGACCGAGGAGGCTCAGCCTGACGTGTGGAACGGCTCGATCTGCCGTCGGCCCGGTGGCTGCCGTTTGTGTTAGGCCCACAGAGTGCTTTGCCTTCGGAAAATGCCTCCGGCCGATCTATTACGGGTTTTGACAGGTGTCCTCCTGCCGTCGGCCGGGGCTCTGTGTCATAGACCCTTCCTCCGGCGTCGGTCAGCCGACCTCGGGAGGCAGAGGGCCCACGTCCGTCATCGGGATTCTGCTCACGACACTGACAATTAGTCTGATAAGGTGGCTGAGGAATGCAGTGCTCCTGCCAAGGCCGAGATAAGTCGCCAGTGCGCTTCCCTGGCCTTGAGCTGCACCTCGTGGGAATGTACAGCCCTTTTCCATTTCCTCCGGAGCATAGATAACTGGGCGTCATACAGGTGCGCTCTCGGCCAACCGTGACCGTTTCGTATCTGTCTTGGTTCAAGGGTTCCTATTGGAGCAATGCGAGCCTTTTCGGTTCCTTCAGGGCGTGGAGAAGGCATTCCCTGCCCTCCTTTCCCCACGCCCAGACCGAAGGGCACGGGATTCAGGGGGGAGAGGAAGGGTGTGGGCGGCAGGCAGCCCCTGGGTTGGAGTCCGGTTCCCGAGGTCACACGGCTAGAAAGTGGCAGCCCAGGGATGGAAACAGCCTGGCTCTCAGCGCAGGCCCTAATGCTACGCCACCCTGCCTCCTTCCCACAGCGGCGGGCACTCTTGGCTTTCTGTCCTCCCCAGCCCCTTCAACTGTGAGCCTGGCACTCAGAGCCTGGCATTCAGAGCCTGGCACTCGGAGCCTGGCACACAGAACATGCTGATGGAAAGGATGAGTGGAAGGATAGGGGGATGGGTGGGCACTGATCAGATGGGTGGGTGGCAGTAGAGTGGAAACGTGGGAGTAGATGGCTGAATGTATAGGCAGAGGGTGTGGATGGATGCATAGATGGGTGGGTGGGTCGTTAGTGATTGGATAGGATGGATGGATGGATGGATGGATGGATGGATGGATAGATGGAAGAATAGATGAGTAGATGGACCGGGTGGTAGATGGAAGGATGTATCAATATATGTGTGGATGATGACTGGACGAGATAAATAGATGGATGTGGGGAGAGGTGGGTAAGCAAGTAGGTGGAACGGACAGGTGGGGTTGAGGGTAGCTGGATGGACATTGGGATTGGGTGGATGGTTGGATGAATCAATAAATCAGAGATGGATGCATGAATGGGTAGGTAAACGGTGCATGAAGAATCGATGGATGGGTGGACAGGAATAGATGAAATGGATGAGTAGTGGGTAGTTAGATGGATGAGGAGAAGATAGGTGGGTGTTGAATGGATGAGGTAGCTAGATGGATGGGTGTGTGTTTTGGAGGTGGATAGGTAGGTGGGTGAGTAGGTAAGTGGGTGAAGGGTGGGCAGGTAGGCGAGTAAGGGTGGCCAGGTGGAGGTATGGGTGGGACAGATGGGTAGACATGGGAGTGGATGGATGGATAGTTGGTGGATGGGGTAAATGCATGGGCAGATGGCTAAGTCAATGGATGGGTAGATGGTAGGTAGATAGAAACGGTGGGTGGGGGGTATTTATGATGAGTAGATGGTGGGTGGTGGTGAATGGGGGTGGGTGCGAGGGAATGCAGATGTGGCGGGCAGAACGCCGTCTACGGAGCCTCCAGAGCGATGAGCATCCCAGCTCTGTGGGCAGTGGGCGTGGATAGGTGCCTAGAGCAGGGTTCCCCCTTCCCCATTCTGCCTCTGCACTCCCTCTGCGCCTGGGGGAAGGTGAAGGGGCATGAGGCACACCTCGCGGAGCACTGCTCTAGGCCTCAGCACTCCTGGTCACAGTTCTACCTGTGACCCTCATGAGAGGGGAAACTTGAAACAGCTAATTCTCCTCCTTAAGATAGTCTGGCCAAAGGAGAACCAGAGAGGACTGGTCCACGCTGCAGTGTTTTTCTACTTTCCCTGCCTTACCTCACAGGTGTCCCCTCATTTCAGTTCTCCTCCCTCCCTCCCATCTCTCCACGCCCGTCTGTTTCATCCAGTCTCTCTGCATATCACACCACACATCCTCTCAGACGCCTGTCTCCCTCTCTGTGACCGTCTCTTAGGTGTAAATAAGTCTCGAACGATACAGCGCTTAGAACAGCTCCCCGCACGGAGGAGGCCCTAGGTAAGTGCTGGCCATCACGCTCTGTTTTACACCAGCGGGCACACCTCTCGCTGACCTCGCTCTCATACGTGCTCCGTCCTCCTGGCCTGGTCCGCCCACCTCCCCGCCTCCCTCCCTCACTCCCACTCTCCACATTCCATACCAATCCCTAAAGTCCAGCTCAAATGCTGCCTCCAGGAAGCCGCCCCGATCCACACAGGATTTTGGGATCCACGTCTCCCTCACTGGGGTTCCCTCATCACTGCTCCACTCTTTCTAAGCAGCCTTTGCAGTTACATTTTGTGCTAAAATGGGAGAAGGCCGGGAGTCTAGAGATAGCAACGCTGGCTCTCAATATAGCCACCCTTGGGCACGGGCGCTATTTTTAAATACACACTCCCCGCTTGGGGCACTTAAATGAAAATCTTAGAAGGATCCCTCCTCATCCTGGGAGAGCCCCAGGGACTTGCCACGTTAGAGATGCCCTAGTTTGGAAGTAAAAGCATTTCTGCTTCACTCTCAGGTTTCTTAGGCGTTGGAGTTTCCCTGGCTTTGACATGATTTTCTCTCCAGGGGAGCTGCGTCTCTTGGGAGGGGACGGAGGGGGAAGAAGATCCTTAGACACCTCTGCAGCCTGGCCTAGGGGGTGTGACCACTCCCCTCCCGCCCCGCTGGGCGCTAAGCCCCTGAGGACAGAGAAGGGCTTTGCTGCCAGGGTTTCCTCTGCTCCCTGCACGGGGCTGGTCCGTCGGTAGGCACTGGATGTGAATGTGTGGATGTGATGGGTGGGCCTTATCACCTCCACTGACGTGAGCTCAGGCACGTTACATCCACGACCCCCGTACACGTTTCTGCAGCCTGGCCTAGGGGGTGTGACCACTCCCCTCCTGCCCCGTTGGGCGCTAAGCCCCTGAGGACGGAGACAGGCTTTGCTGCCAGGGCTTCTTCTCCCCGCACAGGGGCTGGTCCGTCGGTGGGCGCTGGATGTGAATGTGTGGATGTGATGGGTGGGCCTCATCTCCTCCACTGATGTGAGCTCAGGCACGTTCCATCCACGACCCCCGTACACGTCACGAGGGGCCACGAGTGGGCGTGATGGTCTCCATTTCACAGACGGGGACACTGAGGCTCTGTGTGCGCAGAAACTCACCTGCGTGCACCTGAGCCGGCCTCTGACCGCGGGCCCACCTGCCTCCAGGGCCCATGCTTCCCAGGCCAGAGGAAGGTGTGGGCTGAGGGCCCCGCGTCTCCCTCCTGCCCAGGGGTGTCCTGGGCACTGCGCCGTGCCTGCCCGTGGCCCTGCCTCCG